AATATATTTTTATATATTATAAAATATATATTTTATTACCACTAAAATATATATATTCTATATTTTTAATACCAATTTGATTTAGGTATTGGCTATAAAACTTCCAAACGTCTGGAAACGCTGGGTGTGAGGAAGGTGTGTGATCTCCAAGCGCTCCCACCTGCTGTGTTGGAGAAGGAATTAGGTGTTGCCATCGCTCAACGCATCCAAAAACTCAGTTATGGAGAAGATGACTCTCCTGTGACTCCATCCGGCCCTCCTCAGGTACAAATCTTAGTCTGAAATATATAAAGAGCTAAAAAAATGGTGCTTTTAATTTTATATAGTTTTTTGAACTAACCAAAATGATGTATTTTTATATATTATTCTCCAAATAATTTATAATTCTCTTGAATTTCAGTCGAGCTCAGAGTGTCAAAGATATCTTGTTGTTAATAGATATTTCACTGTAATCCTTGTTTTCCTCTTCAGAATTTTGAAGTAAATACAATGAAATCTGTATTATTTTTATATTTACTCCAAAATTCTGAAGAGGAAAACAAGGATTATAAAATAATACATATTTCATTGTAATTCTTGTTTTCCTCTTCAGAATTCTGAAGTAAATATAAAAGTAATACAAATTTCATTGTATTTACTTCAGAATTCTGAAGAGGAAAACAAGAATTACAATGAAATATGTATTATTTTATAATCCTTGTTTTCCTCTTCAGAATTCTGAAGTAAATATAAAAGTAATACAAATTTCATTGTATTTACTTCAGAATTCTGAAGAGGAAAACAAGAATTACAATGAAATATGTATTATTTTATAATCCTTGTTTTCCTCTTCAGAATTCTGAAGTAAATATAAAAGTAATACAAATTTCATTGTATTTACTTCAGAATTCTGAAGAGGAAAACAAGAATTACAATGAAATATGTATTATTTTATAATCCTTGTTTTCCTCTTCAGAATTCTGAAGTAAATATAAAATAATACAAATTTCCTTGTAATACTTTTTTTTTCTCTTCAGAATTTTGAAGTAAATATAAGATAATACATATTTCATTGTGTTTACTTAAAAATTCTGAAGAGGTAAGAAAAGAATTACAGTGAAATATGAATTATTTTATAATCCTTGTTTTTCTCTTCAGAATTTTGAAGTAAATATAAAATAATACAAATTTCATTGTAATCCTTTTTTTTTCTCTTCAGAATTCTGAAGTAAATAAAAAATAATACCAAATTCCTTGTAATCCTCGTTCTCCTCTTCAGGATTTTCAAGTAAATATCAAACTGAAAGGACTCACGTGGTTTGTTTCTCTTTTTCAGTCCTTCAGCGATGAAGATTCCTTTAAAAAATGCTCGTCAGAAGTGGAAGTGAAAAAGAAAATAGAAGAACTGCTTCTTACCCTGTTAGACAGGCGAGTGACTCTCCTCTGTGGCTCTTTTTGATGGGTGACATTGTCACCTGGAGGGACCCGGAGTGAACGTTAGGTTTGTCTTCACTTTCTTCTCTCACCAAAATGTGTTTGTTGGGACATTTCTTCTCTCTTGTCTTTGTGAAGCTGTGGCTGCTCCTCCCTGGAAGTGTTCTCGACCAGGCTGGATGAGGCTTTGAGCAACCTGGTCTAGTGGAAGGTGTCCCTGCTGCTGGCAGGGGGGTTGGGACTGGATGAGCTTTAAGGTCCTTTCCCAACCCAAACCATTCTGTGATTCCATGAAATCCATCTTAGTTACATTTATTTTTATATATATTTAGTTATATCGTGGACAAGCAGTTCCCATCTCACACGTTGCTCAGTAATCACAAAATCAGTGAGGACAAACAGCCTGTCTTGTGTAAAATAAATACAATATTTCTCAATTCTATATTTTTTTATAGGGAAAATTTCCCTCTTAAGCCTTTTGGAAGGGGGAAAGAACCAATTCCAGACTTGATTTCTTACCCTTCTACAAGTCACCTTGCTAAAGTGGGGTTATTTCCTTGGAAAGCAAAAAGAAGAGCTACAAGATGAGGATTATATCGAGTGTAACTGCAAAATTATGACTGCTTTTAATGTATGAAATGTGTTTAATGTCACATTCACCTCAGTTCCAGCCTCTTGGAGACAATATTTGTGTGGTACTGAACTTCTGACTGCTGGGGAATGGAGGGAACTGGCCAGAGTTCCTCGTATGATCACTGGAATAAAGCCAGAAGTTGGGAGAGATCTGCAACGCTTAAGTGACTTTTAGTTTAAGTGACTTTTAGTTTAAGTGACTTTTAGTTTAAGTGACTTTTAGTTTAAGTGACTTTTAGTTTAAGTGACTTTTAGTTTAAGTGACTTTTAGTTTAAGTGACTGGGTTTAGAAGTGACTGGGTTTAGAAGTGACTGGGTTTAGAAGTGACTGGGTTTAGAAGTGACTGGGTTTAGAAGTGACTGGGTTTAGAAGTGACTGGGTTTAGAAGTGACTGGGTTTAGAAGTGACTGGGTTTAGAAGTGACTGGGTTTAGAAGTGACTGGGTTTAGAAGTGACTGGGTTTAGAAGTGACTGGGTTTAGAAGTGACTGGGTTTAGAAGTGACTGGGTTTAGAAGTGACTGGGTTTAGAAGTGACTGGGTTTAGAAGTGACTGGGTTTAGAAGTGACTGGGTTTAGAAGTGACTGGGTTTAGAAGTGACTGGGTTTAGAAGTGACTGGGTTTAGAAGTGACTGGGTTTAGAAGTGACTGGGTTTAGAAGTGACTGGCCAGGGGCTTTATCCCAGTAACTTAATTTAAGTGACAGTTTCCACAGCCCCTCTGAGCAATCCTCCTCGTGACTCCTGTTGCTCTGTGCCCGTTCCCCTTCCCCAGGATATCGCGAGCCGGCAGGCAGCCGCGCACGGTGAGGTTGACCATCCGCCAGTTCTCCTCCACCAACAGATGGTTTAACCGGGAGAGTCGCCAGTGTCCCATCCCACCTCATCTCCTCCAGAAACTTGGAAAAGGTACCATTTTTTTTTTTTATTTGTGTTTTTACCACCTAACACTTCTCTGGAAAATTTCATTCCTTCATTTCATGATTATTCCTCTTATTTGAATTTTTTTCTATTATTTCTGATGGATGTATCTTAGAATCATGGAATGGTTTGGGTTGGAAAGGACCTTCAAGCTCATCCAGTTCCAACCCCCCTGCCAGCAGCAGGGACACCTTCCACTAGACCAGGATAAGCTAAAAACACCTAGAACTTCACTGTAGGAGTAACTTCTCTGTTACTACCACGTTTTAATCCAGTCTGGCTGGATTCCTGGCAGTAAATTTCTTGGTGGGATGAGGAAAGGTGTCTTCCTGGATTAATAATCTGCTTTGTATTTTGCTATTTCCATCAATCTTACCCAGTTACTCTTCATTCAATACAACCTGGGGGTGTTGGGCACCAGCAGCTGAAC